GAGCCCAAAACAATAAGATCTAATATAGGAAGTTAAGAGTAAGAGATTGGATGAGATTGGTACTGGACGGAAGATGGGGTAATTTTTATCCTTTTTTGAGGTGGTATCTTGCATTGATTCATTTTCAGATGTTAAACCAATCTTACATTCCTAGGAAGCAGAATGAGTAACCAAGTGTTTGTTATCCTAATTTTTTCCTAAATTTTTGAGGAAGAAAGTTAATTTAAAGGAAAACTGGAACAAGTCCTTTTTTTTTGAGACAGAGTCTCACTATGTCACCCTCAATAGAGTGCTGTGACATCACAGCTCACAGCAACCTCAAACTCTTGGGCTTAAGCAATTCTCTTGCTGCAGCCTCCCAAGCAGCTGGGACTACAAGTACACAACACCCGGCTATTTTTTTGTTGCAGTGTCATTATTGCTTTAGCTGGCCCAGGCTGGGTTCAAACCCGTCAGCCTTGGTGTATGTGGCCGGACCCTACCCACTGAGCTATGGGCACCACCTGGACCAAGTATTTTAACTCATTTCTGCAGGGACACCATCACAAGCAATAGCAACAGTAATAATGTCCAAATTAAGCACTTATTCAATATGAAATGGACCTCTGAGTTCTAAATACTGTGGATTTCACCTTTCCATTCATGTTATGACAATATTCATTTATTTATTCATTTATTTACTTTGAGGCAGTCTCACTTTGTCGCCCCTAGTAGAATGCCATCGTGTCATAGCTCACAACCACCTCAGCATTCTGGGCTCAAGTGATTCTCTTGCCTTAGCCTCCCAAGTAGCTGGGATTATAGGCACCCACCACAACGCCCAGCAATTTTTAAAGGCTGGTCTCCAACCTGTGAGCACAAGCGATCTACCTGCCATGGCCTCCCAGAGTGCTAGGATTACAGGCATAAGCCACCACGCCCAGACAGCAATATTTAACAGTATTCAAAGGAACCATATTATTATATGTACAAGGTCAGTAAGACCTGCCTTTGTCTTAAGGACATTTATCATTGGATTTACAGCCTATGAAGATAATTGAGGATGATCTCCTTATCTCCAGAGCCTTAATTATACCTGCAAAGACCCTTTTGCCAAATAAGGCAGCATACACATGTTCCAGGAATTAAGACATGGACATATCTTTCGAGGGATCACATTCAACCCACTACAGTAGATTTTGAATATTCTACAAATGTGAAGAGAACATTTTCATCAGGGTAAAAAGTCACACTGAGGAAACACACCACGGCAGCAGAAAATTGAAGCCTTTAAAACACATACATTTAAATTACAAGATTAGAAAAACAACTTCTTGATAGTAAATATATTTTGGGTAAATACAAGCTTTCTAAATTTACAAGTATTTCATTGCAAATATTAATACTCTAAACTACTCCTCTTTACATATATGAGAAACTTCAAATCCTGTACTCTAGGAAAAAACAGAGGAAAAGCAATACCTTAAGAGCAACCATTCCTATTTCTCCACTTTCCCTGGGTGATATAACATCTTACGTGGACTAATTACAAAAAGAAATTTTAGAGTCCATCGCATTTAAAGCACAAGATACAGCTAAAATTTCCCCAAGTATTCTAAATATTTGATGTTTATAACTGTGCATAAATAATAGGTATAAGGCAGATTCTAAAACTAACTGAAGGATGAAAAGAAATTGACATGAATAGCCAACAGTCAGTAAATATAAATGTTACTATTGGGTTTGCTCCAGACTTCCTTTTCTATTCAGGATCTGCTTCTTTTGTGTCCAAGGTTTTCTCCCGCTAGACTCCAAGATAGCAAACAACTTAACATTATCATGGCCTTGGTCATGGGAAGCACTTATTTTGGAAATAAAAACACCTTCTTTCCTCTTCACCAGATATCGAAGTTGTCTGTTTTGCTATTTGCTTCTTTCAATCAGTTATCAGCTCCCTCATGCAAGAAACAGGAGAGTGGACCAAAAAGGAGGAAGATGTGAACAAAAGAAAATTAACACAACATACAGTTCACTTGAATAGTCACTTATATAAATTCCTTATCATTTTTTTATTATTTAAAAATTACGATGTTTTCAGTCTTTTGCTTTCCTTTTCCACGTTGTCTGTAATGTTGTGTAGTTTTCTGGAGTTCTGAACCAGGGACACCAAACTCTCCCTAAAGTCACTAGTACCACAATCTCTGCCAACATTTTGAAGCTCATCGAACAAAGCCAATGTCTGTTTGAGTTTGGCCTGAACAATTTTTTGCTCTTCTAATTCTGCAAGAAGGGCCTGCTTAGTACATAATTCAGTCTTATACTTCTCTTGTAACTGGTCGATTTCTTTCTGGAGATGTTGAAATTCTTCCTCATTATAAGGATGTATCTCCTTACATTTATCTTCAGGAAGCAAGATGTTTGGTGGAATCTGCAAAATCAACCGCAAAAACAGCTGCTCCATTGTACCAAAAAGTTTATCAAAATGTCCTTTCATGAAGCTAAGAAACTTCTCTGTGCATTTGCGAATTTGGACTGGGCTGATCTTACAGTCTGGGATGCCATCCAACTTCTTCAGCATAACCTGTTCAACAGCCTGCATCACTTCGAATAGGTAGTCTTGAAATGCAATATAGATCCTGAGCATGCACGTCTGTGGGGTGAACCCAAAGAACTGGGCCTCATAGGTCATTGGATCAACAGACATCTTGGTTTGTTTTGCTATGTTATTTTTTATTGTGGAAAATCTGCAAATGTAAAAAAGGAAAAAAATTCATTTGGATAAAAAAAAAATCTGAAGAAAGTAACAAATTACACAAGAAAGTAACAAACAAAGAAGGAAGCAAATTAGAAAT